GGTACCAGGAACCGAACTCACGACCTTGCGCTTGCCAGGCAGGCGCTTTTGCCGCTGAGCTAAATCCCCAGCCCTGTTCTTCATTTTCTTATAAAACCTGATGCTAAGCCAGGCATGGTAGTGCTTGCCTGTAATTCCAGCACTCTGATAGACTGAGGCAGGAGGATCACAAGTTCAAACCCAGCTTGGGTAACTTAGCAAGACCCTAGCCCAAAGTAAAAACTGAAGGGGAAAAAAACCTGGCTGTCCTTCACTGTCTAGGCAGTTTTTTAAAAGATTCTCATTACATAATAAGTGCAAAGCATTAACGAAACATTTCTCCTGTCGAGAGAATCTGAGCTTCAGGTAACTCCCTAGGTCTTCCTCTGACAAGGGTAGAATGTCAGCTGTACTGCTCACTGACAAACTGCCTCAAAAGCATTCACTAGCCGGATGGTGGCATGCACCCGTAACCTCAGCACTTGGGAGGCTGTGGCAGGAGAATTACAAGTTTCAGGCCAGTCTGAGCTACACAGTGAGTTTTAAGGTCTCAAAAACCAACAAAGTTACTGCAGACAAATTTCATGTTATACTAGTAAGACGTGATACAATTTTTTTTGGTAATCCTGGGGACTGAAACTAGGAACTTCACACTGAACTAGATCCCAGCCCTGGTTTTTTCCCCTAATTTGCTAATCCTATCAGTGAAAGAGTGTGTGTTCAGTATGCACATGATCCCTAGCACCAAAATAAGTAAGTGGCAATTACTCCAACATCAGCCCATCCATATCCATTCACAGAACATGCTAACCTCTTTTTCCCCGAGTACCATTCAATGAAGAACCAATGTAAAACAAGAGGCAGCATCGCCATGAATCCAAGGTAGAGCCAATCATAGAGCTCTGGAGATTCTGTACAAGGCTGACAGTACTTCTGTGCATTCGTTCTCTGCCCTCTTGGGCAAACCTACAGCATAGAAAAACATTTTTATGCACACATATTTTAGAATATTCACATTCTCCAAAAAATTCTATAGTACATCCCATTTTAGTTTAAATATTTAAATTTATACATGTGGCTTTTAGAAATTAAAGTATAAGTAAAATATAAATCTACATTGTATGGGTTATGCCTGTAAAATGTTCATAGAGGATTCCTTTATTTAGTTTCTAAAATAGCTAACATGCAGTAAAAAACCTACTTGGTAACATCATATAAAAATAATTGCAGAGAAATGCTTTGGAGTTGTAACATTAACTTACTGTACAAGTCACTGCACTAAGTCATTTAAAAAGTAATTAGAAATAACTATAAAATTATAAAATGTTCTTAACTGTGACTATCAAGAAAGATATAATACATTATATAGTTCAATATTCTAACAAAAATCAGGATTTTATCAATGCTTCTCTATTCTCATAAAGTTTAAGAAAAAAGATTCTACATATAAAAATACCTCAAAAGCACATAGATTTTACAAATGAAATATTATACAAGCATCAGACTTACCCCACATTCTCCATATATTTCAGTTGAACCATTTTTAAATAACAGGGTCTTCCCACAGTAAAGTCCAAGGCATGCTGGTTGAATATCGACAGCTTTTTAAAAACAAACGCCAGTATAGTAACATCTTTGTGATTATAAAAAAATAATGCAATAACAGCTGAAGCACTTGCCAGACACATCTAAGTAGTTTCAATCTTTAAAATGATAAATACTAGACAAGTCTTCATGTATTTTTAAATCTCTTCTTTTAAACTGTTACACTCAAACCTTGCTGTTAATACTGTGCCTTGTGATTAATGCCCCTGACCAGCTGGGCTCATTCTCAGAACTCAAAGCCTAACCCGCCATGTCTCCAAGGGACCAAAAATACATTATCCTTGATTGGAGTAGACTTTTGAATTTGACTATAAAATTTTAAAACAATTTCTTAAAAAACTAAGGCACTGATGGGGAGTCCTCACTTTTTGTTTTGCCTTTTCAAGACATTAGGCGCACACACACTATTACCACCTTTGTTCATAACAAAACCCATTTTAATCACACTAATGCAGAAAGGACATAATTTCAGAATAAAGGCCAGCTCTTTAGAGTAACTAAGTTCGCCTCTATAAACAGACGTCCTACATCGTCCTCGCTTTTATCATTTGAGGTCAGGTGAAAATTTCGTGAAGATTGTTACTGGGCCACTGACCAATACTAAAGCACCACTGCCTGAGAATCAATCCCCTGATCTCAAAGCTTGGGGAAAATTCAAAGCAAACAAAGGACAGCAGCAACAAAACTCAGCTCTCCTTTAAAAAATAAAACCTCAGTCTTGTCCACCCGGAGAAATTAATGGAGGAGTTGTTTGCATCAGTAACATCTGACTCCATGCATTCGTTCGTTCATGCATTCACTCATCCATTCAAGAAGCACGTATTGAGTGTCGCGTTCCACTACGCAAGGGCCACTAAAGGTCCACAGGGAAACAGAACAGAGTCCTGACCTTCTAAAATTCTGCAGCCTAATAAGTCCAAAACTGTGTTCTACATGTGAATTAACGTGGAAAATTATGCATTCGTGACTACACTCTAACAATCGCTTCTCAGCTTCTTCATGAACACAGTCAAGACTCCCAGGTCTACAAGCCCTTTCTCCTTTTCTAAGCACATGAAAATCAACTGTTTCAGAATTTGGGGGAAGGCAAAGAACCGGAAGCTACTGCAAAGGCAGCAAATCTAGTGGACCTAACACACTCATTTGAAAGTAGATACAGTTTCTCAATATGCCAGGCCCCAAAAACAGCACGACACACGGGGAGTCCACAGCTCGCCATCCGCCACACGGCCTCGGCGCTGGCGCGGCCGGGCCTCCCTCTCCTTCCCTGGGGCTGGGCAGGGTCTGCTCTGCTCTGCGCCCAGCCGTCTCCGCCCGCCTCATTCCCAAGCCAACCAACAGGTACGCGTCTCTCCCGTTCAGCACCGGGACCGCAGGACAGAACCACCGGGCTCGGCCTTCTCGGTCAAAGCAGGAGGGAGCCGGGGCCACCGCAGCCCGGAACGCGGAGCCGGGCCTAGGTCGGGCCTGCGCTGCCACCGGGGGCTGCCAAACCCTAACGGACCACAGCGAGCACTCACCCATCAGTCGACCGGGAGCCTCCCCGCTGGGACTCTGGGATCTACGGACCCCAAGACAGCACCCCGATATCCGGGCCACAACACCTCCCTGGCTCCACCTCTCGGTAACCTGGCGACCGCTCCGAAGTCCCGCCCCACCCCACCCCGTCTAAGTTCCAAAGCCCCGCCCTACTTCCAAATCTAGGCCTCATAGCCCCGCCCCGCTTCCGGGTCTAGCCGCAAAGCTCCGCCCCACTTCCTGTTCCAGGCCCAGGCCCTGCCTAGTGCCCGGTTTAGGCTCAGAAATCCCACCCGCACCCAAGTATGGGCGCCAAAGCCCCGCCCACTTCCGGGCTGCCCCGCGGAAGCCCCGCCTCTCGTACGGCCTTTTCTCCGAGGCCTAGCCCCACTCCCTGGTTTCGGCTGGAAGCCCCGCTCCAAAGATCGCCCGGGTACTGCTGGTCTCGCGCGTGGCGCCCCGCGAGGGAGCCCCGGGACGCAGACGATGGAGGGCGCGCTGGCTGTGCCCCGCCTGCCCCCCCACGACCCGAGCACGCCGGCGCTGTCGGTGGTAGACATGCACACGGGCGGCGAGCCCCTGCGCATCGTGCTGGCCGGCTGCCCCGAGGTGCTCGGGCCCACGCTGCTAGCCAAGCGGCGCTACATGCGCCAGCACCTGGACCACGTGCGGCGCCGGCTCCTGCTCGAGCCCCGGGGCCACCGGGACATGTACGGGGCGGTGCTGGTGCGCAGCGAGCTGCCCGACGCGCACCTGGGAGTGCTGTTCCTGCACAACGCGGGGTACAGCTCCATGTGCGGCCACGCCGTGCTGGCCCTGGGCCGCTTCGCGCTGGACTTCGGGCTGCTGCCCGCGCCCCCCGCCGACGTGCGCGAGGCCCGCGTCAACATCCACTGCCCCTGCGGGCTCGTGGCCGCCTTCGTGGCGTGCGAGGGTGGCCGCAGCTGTGGCCCGGTGCGCTTCCACAGCGTCCCGGCCTTTGTGCTGGCCTCAGGTAACCCGCGGGCTCTCCCTGGGTGGGGAGGCGCGGCCCAGGGCGCGACTAGCTCCGTAACTTCCGCCCGGGCTGTAACGCCGGGCGGTGCCACTAACCCGAGCGGCTTTCCCTCGCGGTTAACCAGAAAGTTACGCCAGATCGTTGCAAACGAGGGTCAGTATCAGCCTTCCAGATTTGATGCTTGCGGATCTCCTCCACTGAGGCTGCAGGAAGCCCCTCTAACAGAATGCCGTGCTTTTCTTGCGCAGGGCCTCGTTCTGCATACTTCACAGTTGAATGAAGCACGGTAAGCGAGGGTCCAAGGAAAGAATAGAGGATGGTCAGCTTACCAGGGTTCTGGCTGGCCCAGAATATGCTTGGTAAACGCATGAGGTCCCCTGAAAAGTTGCAAAACATGGTCTCCTCATCTGTCAAAAGTGACTCTGACTTCTCAAGAAAGAATTAAGTAAAAATGAAAGAACCAAGCAGCTCAAGTGAAGTTGCGGATGTTGCTGCTGTTATTCTTTAAAGTACAGGAACATTGCCTAGATTCAAATCCTGACAGCTCAGCAACCTTCGGGAAATTATTTAGCCTCCTTGAGTCTTTTTCTTCATTTATTTTGTTTTATTGTTTGTTTTTGTCAGGATGAAATGAGACTATACAAGAGTCTTACAATTTCAAAAATACATATAATGTGTATCTCAAGACGAAAAGATTGCAAGATATTTAGGATTGAATGCACCTTAGCATATAGTGCCGTTATAAGGTTTTGCTTTCCCCACAAGCAGCTCCAGCAGGTTAGATGCTCTAGATCGTGTGGAAATTGACAGTTGGCTGCAGGCTCACCATAGTCCTGGGTTGGTTAGGGCAGGGGCAGCCAACTCCTTGGGCACAGTAGTTCTGAGAGTGTCACTGTGCGACAGTGCAATAATTAGTGGGCATTTATGATCACCTAGCTATTAAGGAAATGCAATCCTGTGTTTTTTACTTTGAAAATTAATAAAAGGCAGGGGCCAACATTCACTCAAGAACAGTGCTTTGCCCTTCCACAGCCTCATAGTCTTGTGACAGTCCATGCCTCAGTGTCACAGTCTGTAAAATGAGGATACCACCCTCAAAGAGTTGCTGAATTCAGCTCCTCTCCATTGTGCTAACATGTGAGCTCCTTTGTTTTAGTTAGTGTATTCCAAGTATCGAGAACAGTAGGTAACAAATACTGGGGCTGGGGATATAGCTCTGTGGCATAAGCACCTGCCTGGCAAGCGCAAGGTCCTGAGTTCGATCCCCAGTACTGCAAAAAAAAAAAAAAAAAAAAACATGTTGAATGAGTAGCTAAATACCTGATAGCTGAAGAATATGCTGTTTGACAAATATAGATGCCTGGTCCTCTTAAAAATCCTATTCCCATTGAAATTAAACTCTATTTTAAAAATTAATGCGTGGAACTAACTTTGATAGACATGTCCGTTTAGAAGAGGAAGAAATAAAATCAGAGGTAGAGTGCCGCACCCAACTGCCCACCCTAAGAAAAGCACAAGCCCGGATTTCAGAGTGGACTAGGAGAGCATTGTAGGCTCAGCAGCCTGTTCACCTGAGCCCGTGTCCTCACTGCGCCTGGCCCTGGGATGGGTGGCCCGTGCTCTGTTCAGGGGCGCAGTCAAGAAAAGGGGCAGGTGGAACTGAGCCACAGCCTGTCACCCATGTCCTCGGATGGTGCTGATGTATGCCTCACCCACCAGCAAGCCTTAGCTTCCACATTCCAGTAGTCCTTAACTGTTATCTACTTGCTCATTCTCCTTTCATTAAACACGCTTTTCATGTTTCAGTGTTGCATCTGCATCAAGTAAAGCTTTTTTCTTTCTTTAGTACTGGGGATTGAACCTGGAATCTTGGCCCTGAACTCCATCCCCAGCTCTTTTGAGGCAGGGTCTTACTAAAACACACTAAATTGTCCAGGCTGGGCTGGAACTTAAAATCCTACTTCAGCCTCCCCTAGTTACAGGATGACAGGCATGCTGCACTACATCCAGCTAAAAGAAGGACATTTTATTTTTTTTGTCCTCTTTTTTTTTTGTCTTTTTGAGACAGGGTCTTGCTATGCAGTTCAGGCAAGCCTTGAACTCGCTTTGTAGCCCAGGCTGGCCTTGACCTCGCAGTGATCGTCCTGCCTCAGCCTCCCAAGTGCTAGGATTACAGGTGTGTGCCATCACGCCCAGCAAGAAGGACATTTTAGATCCAGTGTTGCTGTTAACATCTGCAAGCATAATCTACTCTTGATCATGAATTTACTCTGTTTTGACACAGAATACATGAAAAAGGCTTCTGTAGACTCGTCTGTAACTCATAGCATACTAGAGTCTTCCTGTGATTCAGTGTAAATATTTCTCAAGGACACAAGAAATATTTTTTTTGCAATTTGAGACCCCACAGTGCCGTTGATGACTCAGCCCATCCCCCGCCCCCTTCCTGTTACCTGTGTGAGCAAAGGTTTCTTAAGAGTCAGCAGTGCATTGGAAAGGAGAGGCCTTTGGCCTCTGCTTGCACAGTGAGAAGCCCAAGTCCGCCTCACTCCAAGCAGCCCTCCTCCCCTGCCTTCCACTCCTGCTTGGCCGCATCTGCGCCACGCCCTCCTGTGCTGCTGGGGAGTCAGCACAGGTCCTTCTGCACTCAGGGCCTCTGGCTTCCCCTCTCCCCAGTCCAAAGGGAAGTCTACTGGCTAGTAGGAATATTTTTCCCTCTAGGACATTTGCCTTTCCAATGAAAATTTCTGTAAAATAGCCACACCAGAAGGGCCTCTTCCTCCCTGGCCACGAGCCTCCTTCTTAGTAACCGCCGCGCCACCTTGTGCTGGCGAGGAAGCAGAGAGGAAGGAACATGTGAGGAGTAAAGAGCGTTTTAGTGTCCTAAAATACCATCCAAGCCCAATCCTTTGGATATACAGATAATGGATTTCAGACAGCTGACCTTTGAAGCTTCCAGTGTGTCAGGGGCTTAAAATGCTTGGATAAAAGTCCTGATGCAAAATGATGAGGTAGGGGCCAACTCCTGTACAGTGGCTTTCTCTTGAGCGCTTGCTGGAAGGACACTACAGGAGATGGTGATATGTAGATAAATGTGTATAATTCATACAGAAAAGTACTTTTTAAAATTTTGTTGTGGCATTAAAGCTGAAGAAAGCCAATTTGTAACTAGGAATCAAATGCTATTTTAAACTATCTCTAGTGGTTCAATCAGGGACCTGTGTAGTATTTGCAGCTGGATGTCCCAGGACTTTCTGTCTCTCATCTCTGAAGTTTTCTGGGAAGGAGTCTCAGAGTAAGTAACAAACACATTCCACTGGAGAAACAGTGTACAGATGTTGTCTAACTTACACAAACATCGTTAAGATGCACCTCGCTGTCATTTACCTGATGCTTACTCATTTAGAAAGTGAACGTCTACTTCATTCCTTTTCATGACAAGAAAATGCCCCCCCAGCATAAATATATTAAAAATGCTGTGAACTTTTGCTAAAACACTGAAAACTTATTTTCAAACACTTCTTTTCAGATCTCATGGTGGATGTTCCTGGACATGGAAAGGTCGTGGTAGACATTGCCTATGGCGGTGCATTCTATGCCTTTGTCGGTGCAGGACAGTTAGGGCTCGATGTCTGTTCTGCAAAGACAAGGGACCTCGTGGACGCCGCGAGTGCGGTGACCGCGGCGGTGAAAGCTCAGGTCAGTCCAGCCCCTGCCTCCACACTGAGTGCCCCCACCGTGGCCTGGAGCCACGGAAGTATTCACATCTCAAAGGCAGTGATTCTGCACTTACGTAACTTCTAATAGTACTAGGGCTAGGCAGATATTGCCCAGTATCTGCTGATGAGTTCTTGCTCTGCTGCTTGCAACGTTCTTAACCTTGGACAAGTTTTGTAATCTCCATGTGCCTCAGTTTTCCCACCTACAAAATGGAAAGGATACAATATGTCTTTTAGGGTGTTGTGAGTGAAATAAGTCAATACGCGGACTTGACATACTGCCTGGCCCATAACAAATGTTCATTAAGTATGGCAATAAGTGATTCACTGTTACCTTTATGAATATGTGTATGTTAATATAATTTATGGTTATTTATACATACAAATAACACAGTATTCCACTAATTTGAAATGTGTTTTGCTGTATGTGGTGATATTTTTCTGAAAAGCTTGAAAATAATGAGTGTAAATATAGCTTACAGATACTTTCATTGGGTCTGATAAGGCTCTCATGGAAAACCAGTGAATTTTTCTTTTATTGCTAAGAACTTACTCAGATGAGTATTCAGGTAACTAGTTTTTGCTGGGGAAGAAACTATTCTGATAATAAAATCAGTTTAGATGGTAAATGTCTAGATTATTCTTTCATTTCTAGCACACGTAGTGCTATTTTACCTTAAAGTCTGGACCCATGGGCAAAACATACAGTACTGAATGTTTCGGCACATAAAGATTTAATTAGTCAGGATCAATATGCAGCCCTGCTTAACTTGGGTTTCAATGGACTGTCAGTTTTAAGGATCCAAACTGCCCAATTGTTTTAACTGACAGGTAAATGGGGATAGAGTATACTAATTGTAAGACTATATGGAGAAAATTACAGTAATCTCGTACTCTCGGGCACCACAGAAATGCAAGGAACATAAACAGTTAGACCTCCCAGAACCTGGGAGCCCTGAGGACACCTTTGGGCCCATGGAGGCCTCAGCCCCCTGCCAGCACCTGCTTCCGCCTGTGTGCATCTTCTGACTTCCTCCTCTGAGGTCCTTTCTTTGTTCTCATCCAATTGCTTCTCCACCTCAGATCGAAATCCTGTGTTTCCTCATGGCCTTCTGCTGTCCTTGTCTCTCTTGCTGGTGTTAACTTCAGCTCTAGACTCTCACTGACTGATTTTCCACATTCTCCCCTTCAGGCTCCTGAGAATGACAATACGCTACCCTTAGCTCAGCCACCGCCAGCCTGTAGACTGACCGCCCTGAGGTCAGTGCTTCAGTGAGTGTGTGTGTGTGTGTGTGTGTGTGTTTTGGGGAATGTGACAAAACAACAGTTCCTTTAGTTGAGGGTATATTCAGGGCATTTTCTTTACAAGAGGCTCAAAATATAAAAAATCATAACTTCAAATAAAGTTATTTATCTAGAGAATGACAATAATACCTCGCAGTTGGTCCCTTGCTCTAACTTATATCTGGGAGTGCCCTATCCACATTATTTATAAAGATGAATTTGAATCAGAATATTTTAACATGGCTTATTATTTTATCATTGTTATTTTACAGTTTGAGATTACTCACCCAGAGAGTGAAGACCTTGCCTTCCTGTATGGAACCATATTAACAGATGGCAAAGATGCTTATGACGAGGAACCAACCACCAACATCTGTGTGTTTGCAGATGAACAGGTATTAAAGCTGGAATTATTTGCGGACGCAGGACTGCCCAGCTAGAACCTCTGAACATCCTTGTCATCGTTTGTTCTGGCCCAGGTTGACAGAAGCCCCACTGGCTCGGGAGTGACAGCGCGCATTGCTCTGCAGTATCATAAAGGCCTTCTAGGCCTGAACCAGCCCAGGGCCTTTAAAAGCAGCGCAACCGGTTCCGTGTTCACAGGCAGTGCTGTGAAGGTGAGCGCCTCCTGGATTCCTGGTTGCAGATGTGTTGCTGGTGGGACTGAGAGGCCCAAGTGTCAGATACAGTTCTTTACTTGGCTGTCAGAATTTTGAAACAGGCTGTAAAAAATTTCTGTTCAACTGGGTCTTGGACCCCTGGGCATCCCCAGTGTGCTTTCCATGGGCCTGTAAGATAAAAAACTGTGTTAATAATGATGCTAAGACGCCATTTGCTTACTCCCCTTCTCTCAAGAGTGTTCAGTGACATTCAGAGCCCATGGGTAGGTGATATTTCCAATGGAGTGCAGCAGCAGATGTCAGAATCCAGCTGTCTTCTCTAAGCCAGCCATGTAAGAGTCTTGCAAACATGTGAAACACTGCCACTTTCCTCATTAATTTTTTTTGCAAATAAAATTATTTTCACAAAAAAATGTTTTATTAATATGTAATAGGCTTATTATTTTTAAGTGAAGTAATGAACAAATTATTTAAAGTACAGTAAACACTGATAAATAAAACATACGACGACTCTTAGGAGTTAAAACCTCAAGTTTTAAGGTATAAAGGTGTCCTGAGACTAAATGGCTTGCAAACCATTACATTAGAGTTTGGAGGGTCTTGTTTGTTGTTTTTTAATTCTATAAAAGGTTTTCATTTTATATAATAGGATGTAAAGCCAAGAAAATTTGAAGAATGTGGAATTTTTGTAATGGAGTCAAATTTTAAATGTTCTAACTGAGCTTATGAATAAATCTCATAGTAGTAAATGAAATTTACAGAACAATTAATCTACATTGAGTAAATTAACCTAATCAAGGAGTCCTTTATCATAGCAAATTAACCTAATCAAGGAGTCCTTTATCATAACATGTTTTTTAAGGCCCCGCCCTTCCTTCCCGTGCCTCTCCTCGTATTTCCCATTGTCGTTAAGGTGGCATCCCCATCAGTACTTCCAAGCCACAAATTATGGTCATATTTAACTTACTACTTATTCTTTACTTACTGCCTTCATTGGTCGACAGGCTAAGTCTCTGTTTTATGTTCTCTTCCATCTTCAACAAAACTACCTAGTGACTGCGGTAGTGACTCAAAGTTATCTCTTAACAAGTTTCTGGGCTTCTTGTATTTTTTCCCCTGCTCCACTTTGTCCCACACTTTAAAGCTACATTTATCTAAAACAACATTTAGCTATGTCACTGTCTTTAAAATCCTGTCATTTCTATTGCCCATAGGATTAACCACTGGTTTTTCTTAGCATGGTAAAAGTCAAGAGCACAACTTGTACATTCGGTACAGCATGTGTGCAATATTTTGATAGTACGTTCTCTTCATCTTCTTTCCTCAGGAAGCAAAATGTGGAGATTTTAAAGCTGTTATAGTGGAAGTATCAGGACAAGCCCATTACACAGGTACAGCAAATTTTATAGTAGAAGACGACGACCCACTGAAAGACGGGTTTCTTCTCAAATGACCTCTTCCAGGACTTTTAACGGCTTTCCTTCTAAAGTAATAATTATCCATAAGTAATGCTTTCTCAAAATTAGTGAAAACCAATATCCAATTGTTCACATACACTAACTTCCATGTTCTTAAAATAGTATACTATGGCTAAATAGAAAGTCACTATACCTCATATTTGCTAATATATGTTGGTACAGGTATCACTTAAGTCTAGCGTGTAAAGTGTGAAAAATGCAGAAAAATTTTCTAGTTACTAACATACTGAGTAAAATTAAGATCTTTACTCAATGGTAATGACTGTAATATTTTATTCTAAAGGTTCTTTGAATAATATCTGAAATTACAGTCATCTCAACAATGAACTTTACAAGTTCATTATGTTAGTGTTCTATTTTGAGAGGAATAATGCCCCCTAAAGCAGCATGTAAAGGAGATGTGTGAAAAGATACTCAGCACTTAGCATAAAGAGCTGGGGAAGGGCCGGGTGGAGCAAACCGCTTTCCACTGGCATCATTACAGCAGCTGCAGGTGTCCTGTGTGCCTCAACGTTGGCTCCTACTGGTACTGAGGACCATAAACTGATCCTGCAAAAACAAACTAGTCGTCAGATTTTTGGTACTTCTTTAAGGCTTTTTGTGACGGGTTGAGGAAGGCTCAGAGTCAGCCTCAGGAATGCTAAGCGTATGCTGTACCCCCAGCCTCTTTAAGGCTTTTATAAAAGGGATTGCTTACTATGTACTGAAATGCAGGTACATGGTAGAACTGAATGAATCACTTACAAGAGAATGAGTTATACTCTTCAGCTGCATGGTAGGTAGATTTAAAACATGAAAGAAGTGCTCATGATTAGTTAATACTTCTCACTAGTTAATACTGATCTGTGAGCCTTGATCACTGCCAGCTATCATAAACAGAAGCACTTGCTCATTAGATTCTTAGTGAAGCAGGTAACAGTATTTTACCTCTGAGCATGTAGAAAGCGAGTTTGTGTAACTGGCGTTGACACCTGCAGGTCAGTATTGACCCAGTGACTGGGTCTGTGATTTAATTACCTGACCAAAAGAAAAACTATAATGTCAATATTTTGATTTTCCTATTATCAAAAAATTTTATGCTACTTTTTATTGTCTTTATAAAATTCTGTGACAAAATCATTTATCTCCAAGAAATGACAGTATCACTAATTCAGTGTGACCAAGTAATTTTCTACAGATTAGATTTGCTGTACTTTTTTAAGAAATAAAATTAGAACCACTGTTCTCTCAAAATCTCGTATCACACTAACTTGAAAAAAATACATTGTTCCTAAGGTAGATTTTGTAGCATTTTCTAATGGGCTGTATCCATAGTTTCTACTTTAATGAGGTGCATACCATGGCTGATTGAATGAGAGAAGCTACACCCTCCATGTACAAGATCCACCCTAGGACAGCTTGTTGCCAGGATGGTATAAAGGGAAATGAAGAAGGGTGGATCTGTTTCTTGGAGGATCTCCAGTGTTCGCCTTCAGCCTCGAGGTCATCCTCTGGCGTCCAGTGCAGATCCTTCGGTGTCCAGTGTGCAGACAACCGCTGCACGCTTCCTCATCTGACTCTGTGGGCGGCACTGCAAGCCAATCTCGTAAATTCTTACCCATTTGTATATCTTGTGTTACAGTGTTTCCGTGGTAAACACTGACTGATACAGTGCATATTAGTATCCCTTAGCTACCCAGACAGGTGAGTTTTATCCCTGCTGTCGTGTAGAATTACCAGTTCTTGATGATGAAAACAAGCAGATGATTTTTGGCCAGTTCTATTACTGTGTCGCCATTCTCCAGAGACAGCCAGGGAGGATCAGCCTCACCGGGGCAGGCCTGGCCCTCTGGCTCACCTGTGTGTGTCAGTGTCTGTGTTATATTGTACAGGCGAGGGAGATGCAGGTCACACCTGTTAAAAATTCTGCTTAGCCAGGCATGGTGGTGCACACCTGTAATCCCAGAACTTGGGAAGCTGAGGCAGGAGGATCATTGCGAGTTTGAGGCCAGCCTGGGCTACAACGTAAGCTCAAGGCCAGCCTGAACTACATAATGAGACCCTATCTCAAAAAAAAAAAAAAAGAAAAAAAAAGCAAAACAAAACAAAAAAACCTCTCCTTACCAAGGGCCTTCCAGAGGGCTCCGACATTTTCCAGTATACTTCCACCTCGAAGATAGGACAGCCAGAACTTGTTTAAAATAAGATACTTTTATGAAGATGTTGTATTTTTCTTGAACATTAAAAGATACATATTACCTAACTCTTCCTAAATTCTAGTCTGAGTGAGAGCCTAAGCCCTGCCATACAGTGAACCATACTCTGTACTTCGCCCTACCTCTCTTGGGGTGAAAACCCTAGAGACAGGCGCTCCCCCTGCCCTCTCGTGTCTGGGCAGTCACACAGGCCTGCTGGTCCCACCTTCTAGACCAGTGATGGTGAACCTTTCAGAGACCGAGTGCCCAAACTGCAGAGTGCCAGCACTGCAATTAAACCTGAACGTCCAGCGCTCGGCTGCGGGGTCAACCTGCGGTCCGCTGGAACTGCAGGAAGCTGGAACATGAGTCATCCTCTCTCCAGGACCTGAGGTGTGGAAGGGCATGGGCTTGGAAATAGACTGAAGCCAGAAGATGATGGTGCTCAAGAAGACACCCTCAGTTAGTGTTGTCTTTTTCTCCCCAGACTTCTCTCCTTTGGGGGGGAATATAATTTGAACTTGCCCTATCCTTCCAGTAATTTCCTCATTTGCTTACGTAAGCCAGTGTCTTCATTGTTGGTGATCTGTGTATGAGAGGAATGTGGATGCCTACATACCTCCTGAACATCTCTCTTTTTCCTGTAAATGCCGACTTCAGCTCACAATTCCCACCTGGGCTACTGCCTTTTCTTCTGGATTATTTTTCCCAAAGTCACTCAAAACACTTTTCTTTTACATCTAGCAGATTGCTAAGTGCAAAGTACTGGATATGTAACACGAAGCCAAATGAAGGGAGGCAGTAATGCTCGGACAGTCACAAAAATGTAATGATAAGCAGTGGTTTATGCTGCAAGTGGAAAGTACAGAGTGCTGTGATGTTAACCAGGGATGGGGTACATGGGAGCAGGAAATGCCGGCTAAGTAAGGTAATCTTTACATGGTGAGTACACTGGGAAGTCAGAGGGGTAGGAGTTTCCTAGGCACAGGGGACTGCTAGTGCAAACACCCAGATGCGAGATTGAAGGAACTTTAAGAGGCCAGTGTGACTACAAACCTGTCAAGAGCATTTGGCCTGCAGTGTGGAATAGGGACTGGAGGAGGCAGGACCGCCTAGGCGGTGACAGTAGTAGTCCAAAGAGAGAAAGAGTGAAGATTCAGGTGGACAGAGATGGCAGAAGCGAATGGCCAGAAAATACTCAGCAAGTAAAATCCCCAGGTGTTGGGGATGGATTGGATGTGGGCTGAAGGTAAGGGGGTATCAAGAAAGAACCGTAAATTTTTGGCTTGTGAGCTTGATGGGTGAGAGCCCCACCTTCTGACACAGAACATCAAGAAGCAGCGTTTTCAAGGGAAGTTGGGGGAGGGTCACGGGGTCCCTTCTGAATGAGGAGGAGGAGCTTCTGCACATTCTGGGGAGATTCCACACTGGGGAACCTGTGGGCTACAGCCCGAGATCACGGCCCTGCTTTGCTGCCAGTGCCCTCACCCTTCTCCCTGCACACAGCTCAGCCCCCCAGTATGGCGCATGGGCTCTTTTTCAGTCAGGGGCCCCAGTGAATTCTGTCATTTACCTCTTCACGCCCCACCCACCTGCATCTTAGAGTTCAGACACTGCTCATCCTACACATGCATCATATGTCCTTCCCCCTTTCACATTTCTGGGGAGGGAGCGTCCAGTGTCACCTCGTGCCACGTCTTCATCAGCTGCCCTAGGCTGCCTAACTACCTCCATAGGATTCCACGCTTACCACCCTGTAATACATCTGTTCTTGCCTAAGGCTGTAGGCCTCTTTTTGGGTAGAATGCTCATGTGTCGTTACCTAAAACTAAGCGTCATGTGAGATGATAGTGTTTGTCAGCTCAGTGTGTATTAGCTCAGTGTGTCAGGTTCGACACTGGACACTTCCAGTTGTCATACTGGGAGAGGTGCTGTTGGCACTGGTGTCCAGTGACTCGATGCTGCTCAGTATCGGAGTGCCAAGGACAGCCCCTCCACGGGGAATTACTTGACCTGAAATATCAGTGATCTTGACGCTGAGAAACCCAGGCTTAGTTTACCATCTTAGGAGTACTTCTATGCAAACTGTTTCGTGGAGCTATTTCACTTCACTGATATAAGTATTCAAAGCTCTAATACCACTAACCCAAAAATCCACAAGTGTGCTAGTTATTCCTCTCACCCCAACTCCTGTCCCCACTGAGCTATATTTTTTTCATATTTTAAAATTTTGAGACAGTCTTGCTAAGTTGCCTAGGCTGGGCTGAAGCTTGTGGTCCTCCTGCCTCAGCCTCCCAGAGTGCTGGGATTGTAGCTATGTGCCACCATGCCTGCTATTAGCTATTCTCGGATCAGTATTTGTGAAACCTGACTGCCCATCAGGATCAGCTGAGGGTTTGTTAAAACGCAGGTGACTGGATCTTTGCCCCTCACCCAATGTCAGATTCAGATGTGAGTGGGGCCTCAGGTTTGCATTTCTGAGTATGGAAACTTGGTTAGTCACAATAACGCTGCTGGTCCAGGACTCACGCTTTGCAAACGACTGCTTTAGGGAAGAGCCCAGCGTTAACCTTAAGGTGTGGTCACACTGGGTCCCTTCGCGGCACCTTGTGGTGCAACTTCCGGGCAGCTACCCCTTTTTTGTTCCCCTGTGTTCCTATCAGGTGTCAGCTGCATCTCACCTGGCTAGCAGCGCCTCAGACTCAAAGCACACCACAGTTTAGAGCTTGGAGGAAGGGCGCCAGCAGGCACAGACCCAGTTCCTCTACCCTTCTCCCCAGGCATTAGCCAGTTCCGGGCCTCAGCTCCAGGGCCTTGAAAATGAGAGAAGACCTCTCTCCACCACGCATACCCTTCCTCCTCAGGACCCCTGAGAATCAGGTCGTTTGGACTGAGGAGCCAACCTCAGGAGTAGTGGGAGCCGGCCAGGGAACCTACATTTCAACGACCTCACTATCAGTGTCCCCAGGTGTGGTCCTTAGGCTCCTTCACCACCATCTGCTTGCAGACCGTGGGCACCAGGCCCAGGCCAACAACGTCGGGAAAGGACCGAGGCCCTCCGTGTGATCCTGAGGGTCTCTCAAGTTTAGGAATGGCTGTTTCCCACTTAAGGTCCTACATTACTGCGGTGGACACCCCTGGGGACTTGCGCCCAGCAGGAGCGCCCATGTTGAGCTGCACCCCCGCCCGTGTTGCAGAGCCCACCGGGCGGCCGAGGAGAGGCGGCGGCGGGGGCGGCTTTCCCGGTACCGGGCTGGCGACCCGCCCCGTGCTCCTGCGTAAACACGCGGTTCCCCTGGCAACGCCGGGAGCCCACGTCAAAGGCTCCGCAGGTCCGGGGCGAGCGCCCTCC